CCCCAAAACCCCAAAACCCCTAAATCAATATTCACTTTTAAGATTAAGAAATCAAGAAATTATATTTTATCTCATTGAGAAAATTAATAGATCGAGTTCATTTATTTTGAGTCTTATATAGATAGTTGATAAGAGTTTGAGTACCGAAGCCATTAGCATCTGGACATAGAGGGGCCTTAGCTCCTGCAACTCCAGCTGCTCCAGCGATATCTAAGTGCACCCATTTAACATCTTTATCTATGAATCTCTCTAAGAATGCAGCTGCTTTTGATGATCCTCCCCATCTTGTCTTACCACTGTTAGAAATATCTCCTACACTTCCCTTGATGGCTTCACGAGCCTCATCAGTAATTGGCATGTGCCAAGTTTTTTCAAATGATTCTTTGGATGTCTTGATAATTTCCTAAGCGAAGTCATCATCGTTAGAGAATAAACCAGCAGTCTCATTACCGAGTGCAACCATTATAGCTCCTGTTAAGGTGGCTAAGTCAATTAGCTTCTTAGGCTTGAATTCCTTTTGAACATAGGTAAATGTATCCGCAAGAACTAGCCTTCCTTCAGCATCTGTATTTCCAATCTCTACAGTCAGTCCTTTCATTGACTTCAAGATATCACTTGGTTTGTAAGATTTATTATCAATCGAGTTTTCTGCAAATGCCATAGCAAATATCACATTCTTCTTTAAGCCTAACTCTAAAGTGGCCTAGAGAGCACCAATGACGGCACAAGCACCTCCCTTATCTTAATACATATCCTCCATTGAGCCAGTTGGCTTAAGATTCAAGCCACCAGTGTCAAAGGTGATGCCTTTACCTACTAAAGCAACATCAACATTATCTGGATTCTCTGGATTTCCTAGGTACTTTACTACAATGCATCTAGGTTCACTAGTAGCTCCTTTTCCTACATTATAGAATAAATTCATTCCTAAATCGACTAGTTCCTGTCCCTTGATAACTCTGAAGTCTGCAACATTCTTCTTTCCCTCTACTACTTTCCTAACTTCAGCCTCCATATAGTCAGGATCAGCAACGGATCCCCTAGTATTAGCAAGATTTCTAGCTAGTTCAGTAGCTTTAGCTGAAGCTTCCCAAACTTTATAATCTTCAGAATTAAGAGCATCCTGGATAGCTGGATGCTGAATATTGAATTTACCTATCTTTTTGGTGTGCTTCTTGGTTCTCTCATCAACTTCTTCCTCTTCTTTCTTGTCTTCTTCTTTTTATTGAGGTGCAGTCTTGTGTGTGAACTCATAGTTAGAAAGATAAAAACTGTTAGTAAACACCCCTAGATGATCTTGATGAATCTTTTCTGATAAAATAATCTCTACATCATCGCTCTTTTTTGATTGCAATTCCTGACATGTTTTAACAGCAAGCTACCTAATGCCAGATCTGATATCTTCGGGCTTGGCATCTTTCTTTGGCTCTTAGTGTTGAACAAGAAGGAATCTCTTGAGTGTCTCTGGAGAATAGAACCAGTAGCTTTTGGACATTGCAAGATCTTACTTGAATTCCTTTGACTATTTAAGATGTCCAAGGAAGTCTAAGCTATCGATTTCAGATTTATCAACTACTAATGCAACTGTAGACTATGTTGAATTATGAACATGAGTGAGTCTTTCTTTGAGCCACTAGGTGCTCATCATCCGTCTTTGTAACTTGACTAGCATTTATATTTTATCTTTATAATCTATTGTTAATTTATAATTTAACAATGTATGGTTATGATTAATTATTTCTCTAGTCTCCCTAAATTAACCCTATTGTAATTGATGGGGTTTTGGGGTTTTGGGGAGATCGGAAGAGCGTC